GGTGGCACTGCGGGGAGCGCTGTGACCGCTGTCCCCTTGTCCTGGCAGGCACGAGGGCTGCGGCCCCCCAGGGACCCCCCGTGTACGTGGACCTGGCGTACCTGCCCGGCTCGTGGAGCGCGCGCACGGTGGACGAGGAGTTCTTCCGGCGGGTGCGCGCGCTCTGCTACGTGGTCAGCGGCGACGATCACCTGAAGGAGGGCGTGCTGCGCCCGCTGCTCGATGCCCTGCTGGCAGGCAAGCACCACTGGGGCATCGACATCCAGGTGGGTGCCCAGCCCGGCCTGGGGAGGGCTGGGGTGGGCTGCCTCGTGCTGCTTGGGGGGGTGACAAAGTGTCCTGGGGGTCCCTTTCTGCTGTTGCAGGGTGACAAAGTGTCCTGGGGGTCCTTTCCTGATATTTGGGGAGTGACAAAGGGTCCTCAGGGCTTTTTCCCAGTGCTGGGGGGTGACAAAGTGTCCTTGGGGTCCCTACTCAGTGCTGGGGGGTGACAAAGTGTCCTTGGGGTCCCTACTCAGTGCTGGGGGGTGACAAAGTGTCCTGGGGGTCCCTTCCCACTGCTGCGGGGTGACAAAGTGTCCTGGGGGTCCTTTCCTGATATCTGGGGGTGACAAAGTGTTCTCGGGGGTTTTTTCCCAGTGCTGGGGAGTGACAAAGTGTCCTGGGGGTTCCTTTCCACTGCTGGGGGGGGGTCACAAACTGTCCTGGGGGGTCTTTTCCCAATATCTGGGGGGTGACAAAGTGTCCTGGAGGTCCCTTCCTAGTGCCTGAGGAGGTGACAAAATGCCCTGGTGCTCCTCCTGATACTGGGAGGGGGGTGACAAAGCATCCTGGGTGCCCCTTCCCAAAATTTGAGTGTCCCGGGTGCCCCTTCCTGGCACTGGGGGTGGTGACAGCGTGGCCTGGGTGCCCCTTCCTGGCACTGGGGGTGGTGACAGCGTGGCCTGGGTGCCCCTTCCTGGCACTGGGGGTGGTGACAGCGTGGCCTGGGTGTCCCTTCAGGTGACCTTGATCCCCACCTTCGACTCCCTGGTGATGCACGAGTGGTACCAGGAGACGCACGAGCGGCAGCAGGAGCTGGGCATCACCGTGCTGGGCAGCAACAGCACCGTGGCCATGCAGGACGAGACCTTCCCCGCCTGCAAGGTGGAGTTCTGAGGGGGGGGCTCGGCCCCGGGACCACCCCCCGCCCTCCTCTGCCCCCTCCCCGAGCCCCCGGAGGGGCGGGGTGGGGACAGCAGGGGGAGGTCCCCGCTCTGGCCCCGCTGCTGCCAGCCCGGGGAGGGGACAAGGGGCCAGCTGGGGACACGGGGGGGTGGCAGGGTGGCAGGGTGTGTCCCCCTCCCCGCCCAGCAGCGGTGCTGAGCCGTCCCCACGGGCAGCTTGAAGGAACAGGGTAAATTTTGGTGTTTTGTTGGATTTTTTTCCCACATTTTCCTTGACGAGCCACAATTCCCCCCCTCCCCAAATAACCCTCAGAGTGTTGGGGGAGGACCCCCCCCAGGTGCAGCATCCCCTCCCCCAGGCTGAGACCTGCCCACCTCGCTGCACTCCTGTTCCCTCCCCAAAATTTTGGGGTGGGGGCTGAACAAAGGCACCCCCCAGCCCCTCATTTTTTGGGGGGGGGGAGCAGAGAGCAGCCCCCCCACATCCACCCCCTGCCAAAAGCCCTCAGAGGGTTGGGGGGGGGGCTGGGTGTCCCTTTTTGGGGGGGGGGGGCACAAAGCTGGGGCAACCTCGGGAGTCCCATCCCTGAGGGGGTTGGGGGGTGCTGCTGTGGGGTTGTCCCTGGTGTTGTCCCCTACCCAAAATGGTCGTGCCCCCCCCCAAAAAACTGTTGTGACCCCCCCCATCACCCCCAAATTGATCGTAATTTTGGGGTGGGGGCTGAACAAAGGCACCCCCCAGCCCCTCATTTTTTGGGGGGGGGGAGAGCAGAGAGCAGCCCCCCCACATCCACCCCCTGCCAAAAGCTGTTCAAACCAAACGTCACGTGCAATTTTTAAGGGGTTTTATGAGCAGAGAGCACCAAAGGGGGGGTCAGGGTGGGGTTGGGGGGGGGACAGAATGTGACGACCGGTTAATTGGACGCCCCCCCCCCCCCAAAATTCCCCCCTGGGACAAACACTAACCTGTTTTTGTAGGAGGCTCCTCGGTGGCTCTTTTTGTAATGACTTTTTAAGATAAAACAAGAAAAAGAAAAAAAAAGACAAAAATCGTGAAAACTGAATGAACCAAACCTTTTTTTTTTAATTTTTTTTTGAGGGGGGGTTATTTATCTTTACTCCCCCCCCCAAATAAATGCCCGTGGGGGCTTTTACCTTTGATTGTATCGTCCTGTGTGTTCGGGGAGGGGGCACTGAATGTTTCACCTTTAGTGCTTTATATCATTTTTTTCTCAGCTGGAAGGGTTGGAGGTTGGTGGGGGATGTTTTTTGGGGTGGGTGGTGTGGCTGTGACCACCTTCCCCCCTCCCCAAAATGCCCAAACCCCATCCCCTGCCCGTGGCCACACGCTCCCCGTCTTGCACGCCACGTTCCCGTTTGGCAATTGTGTGAAAAATGAGCATTAAAGAGGATCATTCCCCGTGCATCTTTGTCTCCTGGCTGCTTTTTTATTTTATTTTATTATTTTTTATTTTATTTTATTTTATTTTTTTCTGGGCGGGGTGGGGGTGTCCCATGGATTTGGGAAGGCGGTGGAAAGAATGGGTTGGGCTCAGCCTTTGTGGGGGAGTTTGGGGTGGTACCACGAGGTTGGGAAAGGGAATTTGGATTTTTTTTTTGGGGTGGGGGGGGTTGCAGGTGGTGGTGGGGGATTTGGGGGGGTCCAGGGTGTCAGGCAGGGTGGTTCAGAGGGGTCGGGGGGGGTAGAAGCGCTGCGGTGCGGCAGCGCCGAGGCTGAGGCTGGATGCGGGGTTGCCATGACAACCCCATCCCATCCCCATCCCTGCATCCCCATCGCTGCATCCCGGCCCCACCGCGAGGAGGAGGAGGAGGAGGGGGCTGCAGCCGCTGCCTTCATCCCCCGCGGATTTTGGGGGGGGCTTTGGGGGGGCTTTGGGGGGGTTCGGAGCCTCCGCGGTGCTGCGGGGGGGTCCCCGTGTCCCTGTGCTCATCCCCCACCCTGCGTGGGCAGCACGACCAGGGGACAAACCCCCCTCAAAGCCCCCCATGCCCACCCCCCAAATTCCCCTTCCCATCCCCCCCAGGCAATCCCAAATTTCCCCTTCCCCAAAATCCCCCCGTTCCCAGCCCTTTTGGGGAGGGGGCTCAGGGGGGGTTCGGTCCCCTCGAGCCCAGGTGTGACCCCGGGGCTGTCCCTGTCCCCCCCAGCCCCCTCTGAGCCCCCCACTCTGCCGTGACTGGTCCCGGTGGTTCTGGGGAGGGGTCCCGGGGGGGTTTCTCCGCCATTGTCCCCCCTTGGTGGCTGCCAGCACCCGCGGGGACACCGCGGAGGTGACAGTGCCCGCGGTGGCAGCGCCAGCAGCGCCCTGACCCCGGGGAACCGCGCTGGAGCTGGGGAGGGGTCTCCAGCCCCCCGGCCCCGAGCCCCCCCGCGCTGCCGCGGTGCCACCGGCCGGGCCTGGCACTGCCACCCTGGCACCTGCCAGGTGTCGCCGGGACAAAAGGCAGCGTAACCGAACCCGCCGCGTGACGTCCCCGCCGTCCCGGCTCCGGTGGCAGCGCGGGGCTGGCGCGTCCCCCGTCGGGGCGGGATGTGCGGTGCGTTCCCGCCGGGAATACGGGAGTGTCGCCCCCGCCGGGAATGTCCCCCGCCCCCCCGCCGGGTCGCTGCCCGCGGGGACGCTCCCGCAGCTGCGCCGGTGACAGCCGGAGCCGGGCCATGAGCTCAGCGGGGTGCGAGGCACCGGCTGGCACCGGCGGCGGGCGCACCGGGAGCAGCGCCGCGGGCGCGGGGGGCGGAGCGCGGCAGGCCGGGGAGGGGGGTGGCAGCTCGGGCAGGGTGGCGGCGGCAGCTCCAGCACCGGCGCTCCGCTGCCGGCGGCTCCGCTAGCGCGTCTCCCCCCGCGCCGCTCCCGCCGGGCTTTCGGGGCGGCGGCCGCTTTAAAAATGCAAATGAGACCCCTCCCCGCGCGCGGCGCGGCGGCGCTTCAGCCAATAGGAGGCGGCAGCCGCTGGCTGCGGTCACCGCTGCCGGGCGCCTCAGCCAATGGCGGCGCGGCTCGGCGGGAGGGGGCGTGGCCAGCACCGCCCCCGGCGCGGTCCCGGCGCCGCGCAGCCCCCCGGCCCCGCCGTTCGCGCGCGGGCTCCCCGCCGCCGCCCCCGCAGCATCGCCCTCACCGGGGTGCGGGGGTGCAGCCCCCCGCCGTACCGGAGACCCCCCCGCCCTTCCCTCGCTGCGCACCGCACCGCCGCGGCGCCCACCGTTAATAACGCCCCGGTGCACCGGCGCAGCCCCCGCTGGCCACGAGCCCGCTCCCGGTGCTGCGGGCGGCCCCCCCGCCGCCTCCCCCCGCTGCAGGTGCAGGCTCGCTTCGCCGCCTTCCCTCCTTTTTGATTTTGGGGGTGCACGCCCCAATAATAAACCCCCCCCCTCCGCGGTGCCTCCGCTTCCCGGGCGGGTTTTTGGGGTGCGCAGCCCCAAAAACGGGCCGCCCCCCCCCTCCGTTCCCCCCGCATCCTCCGGGGGGTCCCCCGCGCCCCCCGCTGAAGGTCACGGCTGCGGCTGGCCCGAGCCGGCTGGGGGGGGGGGGGGGGGGGGGGGGGGCCCCTGCCGCAGCCCCCCCAGCCCGCACCCCCGTCCCGCTCGGGGACTCGGTGGCCGCGGGGACTTTGGCCGGCGCCGCGTTCGTGGCGTTCGCGGCCGCCCGGGACCGGCGGGGCTGGGGGGGGGGGGGGGGG